GATTTGAACAGCCGAACTGCAGAACTGCAGTCAGCTGAAGTAGCCTGCAGTGCTGCATTTAACCACTGCGCCACCTCGATTCAGCCTCCCCCTACCCTTGTCTAGGCAAGAATTCCCACATGTCTCTGTCGAGGCCATTTCCTTGACACTCCGCACCACACAAACGAACACTGTGTGTCTACGTTCGTTGGTCTAAACATTGGAGAAAGCGCCATAGAGCTGAGCTTCCTCAGTACCTCCCCATTGCGCTTGGTCGTTGCTTCCACCTGTCCTCTCTGATCCTTTTGCTCACACCTGTCCATCCATCCACCTTTCAGGTACAGCAACCTGGAAGAGAGGCAGCTGTGCACAAATCGTAGCGTCAATGGAGACACCTTCCGATGTATTTTTCCCATCAACTGTTCCGGGAATCGCAACATAGCTCTTTCCATCCGAAGTGATTCCGAAGACATCCAGCCGGTCTGCATGCTTACCAAGGAAGGTACGGAAAAATCTGGTAGGTTTTCCCCTCTTGGCGAGTGGTGGGTTTCAAAGGTTCCAGCAACGGGTCCTCTGCCCCGTTGCTGGGTGGGTGTGGCCATGTTGGCCGTGGCCTAGTGTCACCACGGCGTGGGTGGTGGTGGTGGTGGTATTGCCTCCCCAGGCTCTGGAGGCTTTCCTTGAACCTCCGGGAGGGCAAAAACTGCTTCTCCCTGGCTCCGGAGGTCGGAAACAGCCCGTTTCTGCACTTCTGGAACTTCCAGTAGCCCCTTTTTGTGCCCTCCCTCAGCCTCCACATGGGCCCTGTACTTACCTGGTGTTGTGTCCTCAACTTGCGACCTGTCATGGGTCCTCGGCTTACGACCGGCCGCAAGTCCTTGACATACAACAGCCCAGCAACCAAAGGCTCGCGCCTATTGGCTAAGGCTGGAAGCGGGCTTTTCTGCTGTTTGCTATTGGCTGCCCTGTTTGACGGCTCCTGTAGAAATAGCTGTCAATCAGGGCATGGTGCTGAATTGTATATAGTTGTCTTCTTACCTCGTTCTTGTTCATAAACGCTGTTCCTCAGCTGCCTGCATCTCATCTATCCTCACAGTATTTTACACCTGGGTTGAGGGACGGGCTGCGTGGAGACTCCTGGGAGGGACGGGGTGGGGTGGGCGGAGCCAGCCAAGGGTGGCTTTTGGTGGGGTTTGCTGAACCGGGGAGAATCCCAGCTAGAGGATCGCCCGGACCCGTGCAAACCCCCAGAAGCCCCCCCCCCCCGGCAGCCTCTAAGGAAACGAAGGGAGGTAAGGATTGTCCTTGGGTGGATGGTCCCAGTTTTGAAGGAAGGTCTCCTTCCAGCCCATCTTGATGGCTTTCCTTCTAACCTTGAGAGCTAGAACCATCCAGATGAGCCAAAAGAAGACCTTCCTTTGCAGGGGTCGGCAAACTTAAACACTCAAAGAGCCATTTGGACCCGTTTCCCACAGAAAAGAATACACCGGGAGCCACAGAGGTCCTAACCGGAAGCCCCCCGTTCAATCCCGGAGCTGACTGGAAGTTCAGTTCCCCCACCATAGAGTCTCCTCCTAGCGCAGCATCCTTTTTCCTCTGTCAACTGAAGTCCGGTTCCCCCACCATAGAGTCTCCTCCTAGCACAGCATCCTTTTTCCTCTGTCAACCGGAAGTCCGGTTTCCCCACCATAGAGTCTCCTCCTAGCGCAGCATCCTTTTTC